ACAACACACGAAAATCAGCAAAATGGGGGACTCACCTGCTTCAGGATTTGTTTGACCCTCAAAATGGGTCGTTCTAACCGTCAAGGATTAGTGGCTCTATAACTAAAATCCTAACTGAAGTCCACAAAAAAATTCTCGGCAAAAAAGACGTCAGAATTCGAGATCACCAAAAAAGATCTTGGACTATAGCACACAAAATCAACAAAATGAGGGGTTTACTTGCTCCGGGCTCGTTTGACCTTCAAAATAGTCTGTTTTGACCATCAGGGCCAACTAGCTCCATAGATAACTTTTTAATGGACGTCGAAAAAAAAATTAGGCAAAAAAGACATCAGAACTCTGGATCACCAAATATTCATGGACTATAGTACGAAAATCAGTAAATAGAGTATACCTGCTTCGAGGATCGTTTGACCTTGAAATAGGTCGTTGTGACCGTCAAAGCCAACTGTATCCATAGTTAAGGTATTAACGGACGTCAATGAAAATCTTAGGCAAAATAAATGTTAGACTTCCAAACCAACAAAAATTCATGGACTATAGCACACAAAAATCAGCAAAATAGGGGGTTTACCTGTTTCGGAGCTCGTTTGACCTTCAAAATGGGATGTTTTACCCATCAGTGTCAACTACCTCAATAACTAACGTCTTAACGGACGTCCAAAAAAAATTTGAGCAAAAAATAGGTCGGAATTCTAGATGACCGAAAATCTATGGACTATAGTACACGAAAATTGACAAAATGCGGTATACCAGCTTCGGAACGTGTTTGGCCTTCAAAATGCACTGTTTTGGCCATCAAGGCCAACTAGCTTGATTGCTAACTTCTTAATAGACGTCCACGAAAAATTTGGGCAAAAGCGACATCAGAAGTTTGGATCACCGAAAATCCATAGACTATATAGCACACGAAAATCGATAAAATGAGGGGTTTACCTGTTTTGGAGCTCGTTTCTCCTTCAAAATGGGTCATTTTGGCCGTCAAGTCCAACTGAATCCATAGATAACGTCTTAATGGACGTTCACAAAAAATTTAGGCTAAATAGACATAGGAATTCTCGATAACCAAAAAAAGATCTTAGACTATAACACATGAATATCAGCAAAATGAGGGATTTACCTACTCCGGGACTCATTTGACCTTCAAAATGGTCTATTTTGGCCGTTAGGGCCAATTTACTCCTTTGTTAACATCTTAACAAACGTCCAAAAAAATAAGGCAAAAAGGACATCGGAGTTTCGAATCATCAAAAATTCATGAACTATAGCACGCAACAATCGGCAAAATAGGGGGCTTACCTGCTTCCGGACTCATTTGACCTTCAAATGGGTTGTTTTGACCGTCAAGGCCAACATGATCCATAACTAATGTCTTAAGATACATCCACAAAAAATTTTGGGCAAAATAGACGTCGGAATTCTGGATCACCAAAAAAGATCTTGGACTATAGTACACGAAAATCAGCAAAATGATGGATTTACCTACTTCGAGGCTTGTTTGACCTTCGAAATGATCTATTTTGGATGTCAGAGCTAAATAGATCCATAGATAACGTCTTAACGGATGTCCTAATTTTTTTTAGGCAAAACAGACGTCAGAATTTCAAATCGACAAAAATACATGGTCTGTAGTACATGAAACTTGACAAAATGGGGTATACTTGCTTCTTGACTCGTTTGACTTTGAAAATGGACCATTTTGGCCGTCAAAAAAAACATGCTACATAGATAACCTCTTAAAGGACATCCATGAAAATTTTGGAGAAAAAAGACGCCGAAATTCCATATTACTAAAAACTCATGGATTATAGTACACGAAAATTACCAAAATGGATATACCTTCTTCAGGGCTCGTTTGACCTTCAAAATGGATTGTTTTGGATATCAAGGCCAAGTGGCTCCATAAGTAAGGTCTTAACGGACATCCACAAAAAATATGGCAAAAAAGACGTCGGAATTTTGGATCACCAAAAAAGATCATCGACTATAGCATACGAAAATAGGCAAAATGAGGGGCTTCTCTACTCCATGACTCGTTAAACCTAGAAAATAGTTCGCTTTGGCTCTCAGGTCCAACTGATCCATTGATAACGACTTAATGGATGTCTAAAAAAAAATTGGGCAAAAAAGACATTGAGATTCTGGATCACCGAAAATCCATAAACTAAAGTATACGAAAATTAGTAAAATGTGGTATACCTACTTCGGAACTCATTTGACCTTAAAGATTGGTCATTTTGGACGTCATGTTCCATTGGCACATTATTTAACGTCTTAACGGACGTCCATGAAAAATTTGGGCAGTAAGACGCAGAAATTTTGTATAAAAAAAAACATGGACTATAGCACACGAAAATTGACAAAATAGGAGGTTTACATGTTTTAGGGCTCCTTTGACCTTCAAAATCAATCTTTTGGCCGTCAGGGACAACTAGATCCATAGTTAACATCTTAACGGACGTCCACAAAATATTTAGGCAAAAAAAGACGTCGAATTTTAGAACCACTGAAAAAAAGATTGTGAACTAAAGCACAGCAAAATCAATAAAATGAGGGGTTTATCAGCTCTATGACTCGTTTGACCTTTAAAATGGTCCGTTTTGACCGTCATGGCCAAATGACTCCAAAGTTAACGTCTTAACAGACGTCCAAAAAAAATTGAGCAAAAAAGACATCGAAATTCTGGATCACCGAAAATCCATGGATTATAGTATAAGAAAAGTGGCAAAATGGGGTATACCTACTTCGGGGTTTATTTGACCTTGAAAATGAGTCGTTTTGACGTCAAAGCCAACTGGATCCATAGCTAAGGTCTTAAGGACATTCACGAAAAAATTGAGAAAAAAGACGTCGGAATTTTGGATCACCAAAAATCCATTGACTATAGTACACGAAAATTGATAAAATTTCGGATTTACCTGCTTAGAGCCTCATTTGACCTTCAAAATGAGACGTTTTGGCCGTCAGGGCCTACTGAATCCATAGCTAAAGTCTTAACGGACATCCACAAAAAATTTGGACATAAAAAGACATCAAAATTCCTAATGACCAAAAATGATCATGGACTATAGCACACGATAATTAACAAAATGAGGGGTTTACCTTCTTGGGGCTCGTTTGACCTTGAAATTGTTCACTTTGGCCGTCAGGGCCAACTGACTTCATAGCTAACGTCTTAACAGACGTCCACAAAGAATTTAGGCAAAAAAGACGTCGGAATTGTGAATCACCAAAAGTCCATGGACTATGGCACACAAAAATTGGCAAAATGGGAGGGGGGTTATACTTGCTTCGGGGCTCGTTTGACCTTCAAAATGGATCGTTTTGGCTGTCGAGGCCAACTAGTTCCATAGATAACTTCGTAGCGGACGTCCATAAAAAATTTGGGCAACAAAAATGTCGGGATTTTGGATCACCAAAAATCCATGGATTGTAGTACACAAAATCGATAAAATGGGATACACCTGCTTCGAGGCTCGTTTGACCTAGAAAATGAGACGTTTTGGCCGTTGTGTCTCGAGGGGTAAACGGGTCAATTTTTAAGTTCAAATGATCCCCAAAGCAGGAAATATCAAATTTTGCCTATTTTCATGTGCTATAGTCCATGAATTTTTGGTAATTCGGGATTGCAAAGTTTTTTGCTAAAAATTTTCATGTATGTCCGTTACAACCTTATTAATGGCATTAGCTAGTCTTGAAGGGTAAAAAGACGCATTTTCAAGTTTAATCGAGTCCCAATGCAGGAAAAACCAGATATTTTTCCAAATTTTTTGTATGCTATAATCCATGGATATTTTTCATGAACGTTCATTACAACCTTATTCATTGCGTCAGGAAAAACATTGTACATGGTATTCCCATTGAATCTTTCTCAGATATTTATCCATGACTAGACCAACATGGACAAATAACCGTAACATATAGGTAGCTCTGTCTATTAAGAGTACCCATTTATTAGCAAAAGATGGAAGTTGAATTCTTGATTTGAACTTCTTTTGCAATTCGAAGATATGAGCTCGATCGAATAGTAAAATTAACTACTATGTGCATGAATCGAGAAGCTTCTTTTAGATATAACGTAAAAAAATTTAACATATTTTTTTAGTTGAGCCTCTCGATTTGTCATTATACCTCAAGAAGTAGAAACAATTATAATTCTTACTCCACCTAAAGTTTGCGATATTCGTTGATGATTAGAATAAATTCGTAGATCAGATATTCGTTCTAAATTTAAAATACTTTTACAGGATCTATTCATATGAGCATTTTATATGAAAGTTATAGTAATGTCTCTCCCTATGACAAAACTAAAACTATTAGAATCTCCAAATTTATGTAATCAACGTATTTTTGCTTATTTATTTTTTAATAGTATATAAATTATTATAGATATATATATATGTTATCAATTTCTTTTACGTTCATTATTAAGACTAGATATATGAATGACCAAATAAACATGTAGGACGAATATTTTGAAAAAAGGGAGGAGAAATTAATTATTTAGCTGGGGGGCTACATTTTGTCTTCATCCTAACAATTAAAACGTTGCATTTAAAGTTTCATTAAATTTTCTCTTTAATTTTAAGTTAAAATTAATTTTTGAGGTGGCTATTAATGATAAAAATGAATAGTTTAAAATTATATTACTCCTTCCAAATTCAATTGGTATAACTTATATATGGGGTTTAAAAAATTAAAGAGAACTTTTAATCTTAAACATGCCACTTCTAAAAAAGAAATGACTCATTATTCTTCAAACGGATTAACAAAAATTTTGAACAAATTGAGATATTACACTAGTAAATATAGAAATAAGTCATTTATTGGAATCAATAAAAAGGGATGAAGACTCTAAACTTTAACAAGTATTAAGAACATATATTGAACTCGTGCTAGCACATGCTTCGGTATCTTATAATTCTTCTATAAAGAGCTTTGATTACGTAATGACTTTCACACACGCACCAAAAAGAGAAAAAACAATACAGAGAGAAGTCATGGCTGAAACAACAAATTTGAGTGTTCTAATGTTTCCATACTTAGCTTATGGACACTTCACACCTTTCCTTGAGCTAGCCAAGAAGCTCTCAGATAGAGGCTTTTTGATTGATTTTTGTTCAACTCCCATTAATCTTAGTTACATCAAGAAGAAAATCCCACACAAGTACTCTTGTTCAATTCAGCTAGTGGAACTCCATTTACAAGATTTGCCTGAACTTCCTCCTCATTACCACACAACAAAAGACCTCCCATTTCATCTTCAAACCACCCTCTACAAAGCCCTCATGATGGAAGAAGCACAGTTTCACCAAATCCTGAAAGATCAAAAACCTGATGTGTTAGTATTTGATATAATGCAACCATGGTCAGTAAGGGCTGCGTCTAGTCTCAACATCCCAGCAATAAAATATTGTATTGCAAGTGCAGCTACGTGTTGTTATTTTGGCAATTTAAAGCTCAAACCAGGGGTGGAATTCCCTTTCACAGCACTCTATCTAAAGGATTATGAGCAAGAGATAAAGCGTCATATTGAGCTTCAAGTGGAGGAAGGAGGTGAGAATATCATGCTGCTGAATACCTCCAGAGCAATAGATGCAAAGTATCTAGATTATCTTTCTGAAATAGGACAAGGAAACATTCTGCCTACTGGAGTAGTAATTCAAGATCTTGAAGATGAAGGGGATATCGAGGAAACACAACTCATTAAATGGATAGGGAAGAATAAGGAGCATTCAACTGTGTATGTCTCATTTGGGAGTGAGTGTGTCATGACAAAGGAAGAAATGGAAGAGGTAGCTTATGGGTTAGAGGTTAGCAATGTTCATTTCATATGGGTTGTAAGGATTCCAAGAGGAGAACAAGTTGTCAGACTTGAAGAGGTACTTCCTCAAGGATTTCTTGAAAGAATTGGAGAAAGGGGGAGGATAGTTGAAGGATGGGTTCCACAGGCAAAAATATTGAAGCATGCAAGTATTGGAGCATTTGTAACACACTGTGGGTGGAATTCCACACTTGAAAGCATAGAGTTTGGTGTTCCAATCATAGCTCTGCCGATAAACTTTTGCTCGGATCAGCCTATAAATGCTAGATTGGTTGTGGAGATTGGAATAGCCACGGAAATCGCGAGAGATGGAGATGGGAAGCTTCATAGAGGTTATATAGCTGAGACTATCAAAGAAGTGATATTTGGCAAAGAAATTGGGGAGAATTTGAGGAAGAAGGTAAATAGTCTTCGTGAGAATGTAACATTGCTAAGAGAGGAACATATGGATGGAGTTGCTAAGGTGATAAAACAGCTTCGTGAGAAGAAGAATCAGTCCAGAAGTGCCTAACATGATGCATTTAAGAGATACCAAGTGTATCAGCAGTAACAAAGGCGGATCAAAAACAAGTTCCACTAGTGCAAAAAATAAAAAATAAAATTGTGTATGAATGACCTCCCCTGTACCTCTATCTGGAAGTATTGTTTTTAGCAGTACTTCATATGTCATTTGATGGTGATATGAATAAACTCATTATGTTTCTGTTTTCCTCCATTTTCAGAAGCAACATGTTTTTGCTTCACTGATTCAGATATTAAGCCGTTAATGTCCACTTTCTCTTACAACAAACAAAAATAAAGCAGAAACTAGAGAAGATAAGGTCACTGCTCTTGGTTTCATCAGAAATGCTTGTCACGTTTTGTTTCTCTAAAGTTGAATTACATGAACTTTAACTAACACTTCACCATATTGATATGAGAAATATTGCAATTTGTAGTTTATATAATTTGTGAATATCTAAATTTTAATGACTAACCTACAAGTAATAAATTTCACGTGGGGTCTCAGTCTTGAAACTTTAAAGAGTTTTACCTTAACAAACAATCTCACACACACACACACCTGTATGAATGCACTGATCAAAAGGCCAATAAATAAACTGACATACCTGTGTGAATACACAGATCTCCATACATGCATTATCTTTCTTTTCCAATGTTTTTTTTCCTCCACTGCTGAGTCTTGGAGTGACAGTAAAGTTGTCTCCGTGGGGTAGATTGCCTACTCCATTGAGGTGCGTTCCTTCTCTAGATTTTGCGTCTATCAAAAGGACTGCCTATTTGAAGAACAAGATATCTAAATAATTAAGTACTACATTTGTGTCTAATTACTTGTCCAATTTTCCTTTTTTACTTGTCCCTTTTGACAAACAAAGAAAGGACAACATTTTTTTACCTATTATACCCTCAATTAATTAATTTTGAAAAAAGTAGAACTTCTTGAAAATCTTAAATTTTTAATTCATCCACTTCATAATGAATAGGGGCAAAATAATAAATTCACTATGTCAACAATTGTTTTCTTAATTGGTGTGTCAATTCAAAAGTGGACAAGTAATTAGGGACAGAGGGAGTACTAGCATGATATCCCTTTCTTCCAAAAAAAAAACAGATCAATTTAGTAACTATTAGATGTGTCACTCATTTTAGGAAGAGCATCTCCTTGAATCCTTCCACCAAAAAAAAAAGAAGAGAGATCATGTTAGTACTTAATCATTAGATGTTTTGCTCTTCAAAAACAGTGGTCTTTTTGTTGCATCTATTTTACTGATGTACATACATATCCTCTCTTTTACCTCCAAGCTTGAGTTCTGAAATGAAAGTAATTTGGAACTCTACACCTGCTACAGAAAGAGCTTGATGGTAATTACAAAAAGCACATATGAACTAAAAACATAAAGTGATCAAACAAATTCTTGGAGAGGATTACAAAAGCAGCAAACCTGCAACAGCATCTTCAAGAACTGATGAACCATGTGTTCTTTAGTCCTTCTGAAGACCACAAGCATGACTTTCAACCTCCCAGTGATACACATGTTATTCTCACTAAGAGTAATAAGCTCCAACAAAGGATTAGTAATAGAGCGCAAAGATCACATTAGTTTTTGTTAAAGTCCAAACCTCTTGCATGGAAGCACCCTCCCAGACCAAAAAAAAAGATCAAACAACAAACACACTTATTTTGATAATTTGAAATCTCGGGTTGTAGTTAATCAAAAAGATAGCACTCAAGACAGCGGAAATCAAGGAAACAATATCTTCATTGGGGGAAATACAAGATTTGGAAGGAATCAAGGTTAATGTTGATATATCTCAGAATGACAAAGTGCCAATTAACTTTGCAGCTGCTATATTACATTTGTCAATGTTTAGTTACAAAGATGTTGATTAAAAGCACAATGAATCACTAAGAAATGATACTGGAGACAAGAATAACAGTTTAGGGCTGTCACAAGAGGCATACACTTTCATACATTAATCTTTACCATAGAATTAGCAACCAAAAACACTGGTACAATTATTAGGAGGCAGAACCCAATAATTTGATTACACATTTTCATTTTAGTGTGCCTTTGACTTACATTCATCTGATGATCTGCAATACCTTGAGATTTTGTAAACTATATTGTTTCCACTTTCCAGCTCTCCAATTAAATGCAAATGTCTTTTCCATACTCAGTTGATAAAAAGACGACAGCATACCCAGTGTAATCCCACAAAGTGGAGTCTTGGGAGGGTAGAGCGTACACTGAACACAAACCTTACCCCTACCTCAGAGGTAGAGAGGTTGTTCCTGATAGACCCTCAGCTCAAGAAAAAACTCCTTTGATAAAAAAGGGAACAATTCTTTCTGCACGTATTCTTACACCATATTCTGGTGCAAAGTAGTACAATATGCAATTGGAGGATCTACAAACATAGATACAGAATATTATAAGACCTTATACACAAATAGTCGCATTTAATTGCTTTACTTTTCAGGAAACAACATGCCAATGTCGAAGTTATCCAGACAAAACAAATCATGAAGCTTTATAGTAATAACAACAAAAGCCATGAATTGTCTTATCTGTGGGACAGTTGTTGTAGGAGTCCTCCATATAATGCCAGGAGAGGTGCTGCAAATGCAAGCATCATCTTTTGACTTTTGGAGGCAAAGGATGTATACATCCAACTGTTGCCCTGGAAAATTCACAAGCTTATGAATATTAAGCTTTGGAAAATGAATATGCTCCCAACAAGACCACCAAATAAATTGATAATTAAAATCCACAATATGACGACATTATGAAAAATTAAGCACCATGATATATTTGAGATAACATCTGCCGAAGTAGGAAACTTAGTTTACATCATACTGATGATTATCACATCATCACCATGATATACTCACCATCTAAAATTCAATCGTCCTCACTGCATGCTTCATTTATTACACAGTAAAAAACAAACGGAATCTACTTAAGTAAGATATCTGAGACTAGATAAATACTAAGCTTAGATACTTTAAGTCTGCCTTCAGCACCTTGAAAAGCGGGGTTTTTTTTTGTCTAATCACCTACAGTTGACATCTTCATACAAGGACTAGTGTTGACAGTAACATAGTGAAAAATGTTCCTAGCAGCATTAATGATTATCATCATAAAATATCAGAGGTTCTTCATGAACAATACAACATGATTAACCACTCTATTAACTAGGTTCACAAAGAAATGCATTCGAAAAAGATAGAAATTTATTTCTTTCCAAGAATATAAGGCATGATAACATAGTTACAATTGTTCAACCGTCTACAGAAATGGAGGTAAACAACAAAGTCAAAAATATCAACAAAACACCTATTCTCATGCTTGTTACAATGTCATCCAAGGCAAAACGTGGATGAGATCCAATCAATGAAAAGAAAGGTGCAGAAATAAAAATCAACTGACATGAGTACCAGTTCCAGCAGAAATTAAAGTCTTCAGCTCTGCTAAATGTTCATCATTTGAAATATGGAGCGAGATGCGAAGATTAGTTAACAATGATTCTTGGTCCCAACTTAAGGGACCGGACGCATACAATGCCTCTAAAGTGCAGCGATAAGCATGTAACTCCAAACTATGAATACTTGCTGCTATTTTCACTGGTGAAGAAAGAGAGTGTCTTTCCTCCTTATCTGCAGAATCATGAAAAGACTCTGCATCACTGCAAAGCACAGTTCCTTGACAATAGACTTCTTCCGGAGATAAGTTAGAAAATTTCTCATTGATACTACAACTACCAACGGAACAGGCATCACTAGATTCTGTACTTCTGGTAAGGAAATAGCCAATGGAACCACTTCTTTTGGTTTTCTCCAGTGCACAATATCCATCATCTTTCAATTGATCATGCACATTTTTCTCAGCCATTATATTCTCTTTGCACTTGGCATCAACATTGACCTGTCCCTTTAAGGAAGCTGGTACCACCCTCCGTCTCTTAAAAACTCTCTCAGTAGCCTCTAAATCCTGAATGTTTCTAAATGTTTCATTTTTAGAGAAGGCAACTTGGGATACCCTATTCAGCAATAACGAAGAGCTAATATGAGACTTCCACAACTCAGTACACTCCTGAGAAGCTAAATGATCATCCCCAGCATGAAATCTATTCCTTGCGCTAAAAGACAGGACCTTGCTCACCTTTTCAGAAGGTTTCAAAGCTGATAGTTGGTCAGATCTTCTACACAGTTCAGATCCCTATAAGAAGAAACAAGCATATAGTCAACAAACACAAACTAAACACCTCAGACTAATAACGATAGACGATAATGAAGAACCAAACAACAAAGCGAATCAAGAAAAAATGAAAAGAGGATAAGTAGAACACAAAATAAAAAAATAAAAAAGGAAAAATCTTCAAAATAAATAGAGAAAAGGACAAATATGAATGAGAAATTCTATTAGACACGACACAACCAAGAAGATTGGAAAAAAAGTGGAATGCTAAACTTCTTCTATCATTCTACATCTGCAAACAAAAATCTCAGATTGCAAATGAAAAGTAAGAGAGAATAACATAAGGTTTTGGGAAATGAAGAGGGATTAGATGACAAACTGACCTTCCTTATCAAGTGCCGTTCCTCATCTTGCCAACATTGCACCACTCTCGTATTTGATCTGTGCACACAAAGCTCCTTCAGACATCCAGTCTGGTGTACCAGATAATAGTCGTTATCCAGAACCTTCACAATTGTAGCCATCTTCCAAGATGATTCGTCAAATACCTCCACAACCTCACCAATTTCCTGATTTTCCAAACTCTCCACACATGGTGTACAAGATCTGATATTCTTTCTTGACACCCTCTCAGTCCTCCCCATACTTTCAATTCCAGGATAGTAATCATACCTTACAGTGTACATATACCCATTATCAGAGAGATTCTCTGCACGACGCCGTGATGCAGATGACTGCTTCATGTTCATTACCTCAACTTTGCTTCCCCGTTTAAACCTCATGATTTGTAACTCAGCTCAAACCCGATAAC